TAATTACCACCAGCTATAATCGAACCGTTGACCTTGTCTGTGGAGGATTAGGCGCCTAGACCACTAGGCTATGGGACTCTAACCCTTCTGAATATTTATTAAATATACATAATTGCAAAGAGTCATTTAGTTAAAACAGAAGTACCCTGAACACTCTTTCTATTTTTCATCTGAGTATTCAATTTTGTATTATGCGGGTTCGTCTATAGTAATTTTTTTTTAATAGCATGTGAAAACAATAAAAAAGTATAATTATACGGCGGATATAACGGAGCATAATCGCAATTAATTAGACATTTGATAAAGTCTTATATGTATCTAAAATAAAATTTAATTCTGTCTTTAATTTTTAATATAAATAATCAAGTTTTGCTCAAATAAATTTTTTGAATAAAAACTTATATACTTATTGTGTCTGTGAAATATAAACTGTAGCATGTCTTCTAATAAACGAAAAGAAAAAACTACTCTTAGCAATCAACAAAGAAAGGATATAATTGCATTTAAAGAAAAAAATTCAAACATTAGCAATGTTGACCTTGTTGATTTGGTAAAAAAAAATATGGGTCTTGATGTTCATCCCTCTACTATTGGGTGTCTAATAAAAAATAAAGACAACATTGGAGACAATCTATCTGCAAAAAGGTAGAAGACAGTACAATATCCAAACCTTGACAATTCATTACTCGAGTGAATTCTTCAAAACCAAGACCGAATCATATTAAGTGATGCGATTCTAATTGAAAAAGCAAAATCTTTTGCTCAATTGTTAAATATACCAAATGGTAGTCTCAAATTCTCGCATAGCTGGTTGTATAAATTTAAAAGAAGACACGGCCTAAAACAAATAACAAAACATGGCGAAGATGCATCTGTAAATGATAATGTTGCTGCTGCGATTCCTAAATTAAGAAGACTATTAGAAAATTATGATTTAAAGGATATTTATAATATGGACGAAACAGGGTTGTTTTATCAGTAAGAATAAGTAATGTTAAATCTTAATACTTAACTTAAATTTTTTTTTTCTTTTAGCCTTGAACCAGACACTATATTAGCAACAAAACATCTTAAAGAAAGAAAAAAAAATAAAGAACGACTAACCGTAGCATTTTGTGCTAATGCTGATAGAACAGATAAAATTATACTACTTGTAATTTAAAAGTCTCCCAACCCACGCTGTTTTAAAGATATTAAACATAGCAGGCTTGGTGTTACGTATGAAAGTAGTGCTAATGCGTAGATGATGACAATCCTATTTCAAAAATAGCTTAAAGCATTTGATTTAAAGATGGCTGGTCGTAAGACACTTCTTCTAATAGATGGTGCAAAGGTTCATTCTTATTGCAATCTAAATCTTTGAAACACAACCGCCTATATTCTTCCACTATACACAACATCTCATATTCAACTTCTAGATGCTGGCATCATTATGTCCTTCAAGCGTCACTACAAAAGTTACTTTATAAAATGGTTACTTGATCAATATAAATCTGGAAATGACGATAAAATGAATGTTCTTACTGCCATTAGATTTATAGCTAAAGCATGAAAAGAAGTGTTATCGGAAATGGTGCATAATTGCTTTCGACATACTAGTAAAGTTGATTTTAATAAATTGGTTCTCATATCCCAGGCAGGTCTCTGCAAAAATTTATATGTTTACATATAAAATTTTTTAAAAATAAAATTAAAAGCCGGGTTGCCGAGTTATTTTTAAAATTTTATGTTGAGAACTAAAAAACTACCTTTGTATAGCCTTATATAAGTTTTAGTAAATTAGATTTTATGTAAATTATGTATTCAAAATTATTAATTATACAAAATTTTACAACTCTATATACAGGAATCCTTCCAATTAATCCGGATAATGATAGTGAAGATAAAGACGATGATGAAGTGCTTGACATTGATGATATTGAATTGATCAAAGAATTGCGTGAAGATATCAAAGCGCTCTATTTTTGAAATGTGATAGATCTTGAAAACTATATTGACTATCTAGAAGAATTGGAAATACATGAAGCATTAAGTGACCAAGAAATAGTAGATCTAGCTGCTAACTCAGAACTTGAGGAGGATAAAAGCGATAAGGATAATGACAATACAGAAATGCGTCAAATTACCCATAATGAAGCACTAAATGCTATAGATTTGCTAGAACAATACCTTCTGCAACAGGAATTTTGTGATACAGCCCGGTTAAAACATGATAAAGCCTTGTCAAGCTTGCAAAAAGCAATTAGAAAATTATAATGTTCATCCTTCAAACAAACAAATCTTGAGGCATTTTTTGAGTTGGTTGATTAATCCTGAATTAAAAAAAAATAAAAATTATATGAGTAAGTAAATATGAATAGGTAGCATATAAATTAATAGTTGCTCTCAAACACAAAAATCTTTTTTTTTTTTGAAATTAGTGTTAAATCGAACGATCTATTTATTTAAAGTAATGAAACATGTATACTCAATATGCTGTAAATCAACGAATCTAAATAATGGGGTTTAATAAATATTTATTAAAGAATTGTTCACAAGAGTAACAGTCTACACTAAGTGTTGACGAAGGTGTCTTGAATAATAAGTTGATTCAAAACTTGTACTAACGCTAAAGAATATAGCGATAATAGTAATATTAGTTAACTTGTACTAATGCTAAAAAATATAGTGATATCAGTTATTAGCTAATTAGTATTCACGTGATCGTGCTTTTACTACGATTTGATTAGTTATTCTATAATTGCAACCTCCCTTAAATGCATGCTTCAGGGCTGGTCCAACGAGTTACATTTATGGGGGTCTGACTATAATTCATTTTAACAAATAAAGTATTTGTTCTGAGAAGCTTTATTGGTTTGATAAAGTTGAACTACTTTCATCACATATTAAAAAAATTAGCAAACAGCTTTATATACTTGATTTACATATTGCAATTAATAAAATAATGATATGGCTTTCTGGATATAGTAAATATATATTTAGAATAATAAACAAATATATTTTAGAAGAATATAAAGTTATTTTTTTGTATAAAAAGGTTACATATTATACATATATATTTATATATTAATTATATATAAAAACAAGCAAAGAAGTTTTAAATATTTTTGGTTTATAAAACTGAATCTCTTGTATTATATTTAATTATACAACTATCTAATAGTTGGGCATATAATATATATATAACTACTTTGAAAGTATATTTCTTTTTAATTATTTGCAAATAAGGATAGTATAGTGTGAACCAACTCTGCAATATTTTCTAAGAAACTAAAAATTGAAAATCTATTTGTCTAAATTGGGATACTTTATCTAATATAGTAGTTAATAATATTTTAGTAATTTTTAGATAAATAATGAACCTGTTTATATATTTTCACCTATTTTTGGTATTATTATTATTATTTTTTTTGGTATTAAAGTGAGATCTTGCTTATATCTTTATTGATTAATTTATATAAGTAATTACATATCAACTATATAAAGACTTAATTTGTA